CCATATGTATATATATCCATGTGGGTTTGCAGAATTTTCCTTCAAAAACAAACAGACCTTATTCTACTCTGGATGCCACAAACTGTTATTTGCAACTGAGATTATCCTGCTCAACGACCGATTGTCTGATAAAAGCTCTTCTCCACCAGATCTCAAATGCTCTCTGGATATTCGGACAGTCGTCCCCTTTATTGAGAAACCGATCAAACCAATTAAGCAAAATACTTTGTTGTTGTCTCAACGACAGGGTAAGTATCGTTTGGCTCAGCCCTTCCTCAACCAATTTCTTGTCTACAGACCTCGATGCCCTTCTCATCCATCCAAAATCCTCGTAAAGTGCTTCCAACCAAGTTGATAGCAGTTCAAATCGCGCATCTTTTGGCACCAAGACATGTCCCCTTCCGATTGCAATGCAAAGCACTGCTGTGATCTTACTGATTTCGTGTCGGAACATAGTGGGAACTTTTGAATGGAGAGTTGCCAGCTCCTTCTGGTCTGCCCACAGTTTCACAAACTCATCCCCCATTTTCTTGTTGATCAAAATATCAACCATCCATTGCAAATTATCAGCTTCTCGAGCTATTTCACTCATTAAAGCCACTCGATCTTTTTTGGATTCGTCTATGCACATAGCTTCAGATAAGCAAAGGACAAGTGAAGACAGACATCTGTGGCAGAGGCTATAAAGGGTATCTTTGGAGACATGATGTCCATCCTCGTTATCGGATGCATCTTCCCTAAATAACCGGGAAATTAAATTTTTCATTTCTCTTCGAGCTTTATCATCTTTAGCTTGCAGAACGCCAGTCAAAAGTCTCCCAAAGATATCATCCACTCTTGCAGAAGTAGAAGGTTCACATGCTACTCTCTGGAGAATGCCAGCCATTGAATCATGAAACTCGTGTTTTGCAAGAACTCCAATTACTTCCTCCTCTTCCTCATCGGACCATGGAACAGCTTCCAAGTACTCCAAGCAAGATGTTATCCCCTCATCAAATATTAAGGAGGCACAGACCTACAATTTAGCAAAAATGATACAGAAACCTCACTACGCCAGAATTCGAAGAGAAGTAGAACAAAAATGGTTTTCTTCCCTCATTTTTCCTTTGGCAAACAATCCAAAAATGGAATATATTTCCTTAGAAGCAAGAAAGCAGTAACGTTTATCGCTCAAGTAAAACTGGAGGAGAGTTTAGATAGGAAAAACAAAGAAACTGAATCTGTTCTCTCCTGCTACAAAAGATTAATAGATGCTCACAGCAAACTGGAAGAGAAAGAAATTAAATGAAGACTTCTGAATCTTCCATTTCTGAATCTAAGAGCATATATATATCATGCACAAAGAACTTAACTGTCTGAATAGATACTGAAGAAATTAGCAGTTCGTACTAATCTCTATGACAAACTTTCTAATTACAATAGGAATCCTAAAGACTAAAGAAAATCTTTTAACCCAATAATTTTCAGATGTAATTCTCTTGAATTATGAGAGAAAAAAGGGTTTTTCCCTTTTGTTTCTTTTGTTTTTCTTCTCTGAAAAATTAACCAGCATAACAGATCAAAATGATTCTACTCCCTAAATTGTCTCAGCAACATATTTAACATAAGAAGCTGATGAGAACTTATGGGCATTTTTATTTTGTCTATATGGTTTATGTTTTCAAGTTCCAAATTCCATATTTTCTCAGTAACCAAACAGAAAATAGACAAAAACCCAGAACATGCAAACAAGAGACAAGAACAAGAAATCAGAAGGGACCGAAATAAGAGTAAGTAAATACTAAAACAAAATTGTGACAATTAGTACCTTGAGCAAAGCCAAGACCTTTTTAACATCCTCACCAATCAACCTCTTCTTCAAATCATCACAATACATCAAAACCACAGTCTCCACATAATCCCCAACATCATCACATTCACTTATCTCAATAGTATGAGAAACTCCTCTCTCCTTTCTCTGACACAACTTCTGTGCAAAATACCTACTCTTCTCCACTAATACAGTTCTGTGCACATCAATGATTACTTTATGTCCATCTCTTCCGACTACCGTGAGTCTCACATCACCTGATCCCACTCCCATATTGGTGGCACAACACATTTGCTTGAACTCGGACAGGATCCTGGCGATTCGGGCTTGGGGTTTCTTGCGAGCTTCTTCGAGCGATCTTGACTCACGATGCTGCTCCTCAGACATCATCTCCAAGAGGGTAGGGTGAGAGTGAGTGGGGCGGGTGGGGGTCTGTGCTATCTCAATGGACGATGAAGAAGGAGAAGCAGGAGAGACAGAAGAAGGAAAAGGGGGAGATGAAGATGGAGAGCAAACCCTGGAGTATGATATTGGCGAGGGAGTTGTTCTTGACGAAAAGGAAAATGTGGGGTCTGCAATAAAGCCTTGCTTTATCATTGTTGACACTTCTTTTGACGCCATTGTCACCTACCGGAGCAAGAAAAGAAAGAAATCGGTACGTGGGATTCTTTGGAATCAAGAAGATAGGAATGGGTATTTTGCAAAGTAGAAAATGGTTGACCAACTGAAGAGGGTGATAGAAAAAAAAAAAAAAAAAAAGAATCGGTAAGGTAAAGTAGACAAATTTTCCGGGAAAAATAACAGTGGACGAGAAAAGCAAAAGAAAAGTAGAGATTTTTTCCGGGAAAAAAAAAATAAAGATTAAAGAGAGAAAGAGGTAAAGGAGACTGAAGAGGAATCCTAGAGATGGAGAGAGTTTTGGATCTATAATGATTCAGGGAAGCAAGAGCCGTCCTCTGTAATGGAGACGATACGAATATATATATATATATATATATATATAAACATTAAAAACGGTTAATTTTTTGTTTTTATTCTTTTTATTTCTCATTTTTTTCTCACTTCACTTTTCTTTATGTATATAATTTTATTTTTTAAAAAAGAAATAAATTCTCTAGATTTTGTTTAATGATAATTATTTAATTATCTCTTTTTTTACGTAATTAATTAATCATGCTTAACACTAATAATTTAATAATTGGTGATTTTGGAAATATCGTTTATTAACAATTTCTTAGCTCTGCATTCTTACAGTGCAAACTGGCAAATATTTTTTTTTTTTTTTAAATTTATTCACTTCAATTACGAATCTATATATATTTTTCTACATCCATTGTATATCATAATTTTATTTTTTTTTAAAAAAAAGATAAAAACTAAAACTTAGGAATAATTTTTGAATAAATGATTTATTTCCTTACTTTTTTTTAATAAGAAACTTATTCATTAGAGGTAGGAATAATTTAAAACGAAATATATTTTAATTAATTTAAATTGAACATCCCATTCTTGTAAATTCTTTAATTCCTCATCTATATTGATTGTCCAACTCAAAGTTTAAATTTATATTTTTAAGAGAATAAATAGAAGTATTAATTAATTAAAAATAATTATATATACACATAATTATTTAATAAAAGAATAGTTACACATATACATAATTCTTTCACACCCAAAAAAAAAAAAAAAAGAAATCACATTTTAAAAAACAATAAAAGCAAAAGTTACCCACCAAGTGTAATGATTTTGGTTTTGAATGGTCTTGGTCCATGTGATAAAACTCTCACAAATAATTTGGTAGGGCACAAATATTATTATTGGGTTCTTTGGAGACACTACATTTATTTTCGACATGGAAGAACAGGCCTCCATGTTTTCTTTTGAGGGGTTCAACTTTTCAAATTGGAACAACTTTTTGAGGGTCATTTTCAAAAGGACATGGGAAAGAAGAAAATGATGTATCATGGTTAAATAGTTTAGGGTATGCTTTAATGGAGGTAGATGGAATGGAATATAATTTTTCTAGTCGTTCAAAGATGTGTGATACTTCAATCTCGTGTTAGAAAAATATGCGACTGTCAAATTTTATATGAGAATTTAAATCACATATAATGTTTTAAATTCTATAAATTATCGAGTTTGTAATGTTTGAAATATGATATTATAAACAATAATAAAATACGTGTCGCTTTAATAGCTCTAACTAATAGAATTTTGAACTTTTTGAATTTTGAATTGACTTTGATAAGATCATTAATCATATATTAAAAAGATATATAATTATTAAGTTTTATATTAATTTGAATCCAAAGATGTTACAAGAGTTCATTCTATAGGGATAATAATTGTTTATTCCATTAAATTGAGGTCAAATGAAAATAATAATAAAATTAAATTACCTTTCCTATAATAAAAAAAAAACTTATAAATAAACTGTAGAGACCCAAACCCTGGGTAAAATAAATTTGAATTAAAAAAGCGGAAACGTATAATAACATTAGTATTTGCATTCCTTACACATAAATTAGAATGCCTAATAGGGTACAGAAATGTCCCTTTCATAGCGGTTCATCAAAAAAACGAAACAAACATATGAAATTAGTAAATAAATATTGTGGGGAGGTTAACCTCCACTAACTCTTGATAGGATCCGAGCGACACCTACTCACAACTCTCTTGCTGATTAGGTTCTGAATCTTGATCTTCTTGACCTGAAATAGTTAATAGCGGTGAGTTACACTAACCCAATAAAAATATCCCACTACTAACCGATACGGAAATTAAATGTTAGTAAAAAAAAACATAAAACAACTAATTGAGTTCTTAATTTAAGTAAATTCATTTATCATAGGAAAAATCATTTATTGTATACTTACCGTTATGAAGATAATAACTCGAATACCATTATGATTTCTTATACAAGTGAACGAGAACACCAATTTTCCTTTTTATCTTCTTAGTGCTACTTTTGGAGGTCCATAGGGATGTACCCCTACGCGTTAACCCAATATCTAAACTTGTCAATTAACCAGTCGTCTCCATATCCCGTCCGTTATGAACGCCAAAAATATTATTTCTCGATATCACATCCGGTATGAGGGTGAAACGGGTCGTCTCCATACTTTGTCCGGTATGAGCGTCAAAAATATCATCTCTGGATACCTCGTTCG